AGAGGAAAAAGCGAAACACGGATCGTCTGAGCTCTTCAGCTACAGGTAGTCGCTCCTGTTCCTCCGTCTGCTCTGTGAATATGACGTGTGTTCTGTGGCGTCGACTGGTTTATGTTTGGTTCAGAATGTCTCCGCTGATCTGACCATGTGAGATCTGTGCACACCCGCAAACACTGGTGTAAAAACCCACAAACTGACGAGCTCGGCAGGTCAACAAAGCTGTCGTTACCCTCACATGTACGGTCCTAAAGCAAGCACATCTCCATAGAATAGAAGGAAAAAGATGATGAGATAGAATACAAAATAAGAGAGTGTAATATTCTGAAAATTAATTAATTTTTTTAGTCAAAATTAAATCCCAGACTCTGACGTCACAACACAATTTTCAAGTCAACCAAGGTTAATTAAGTCTTGATGTTTGGATGCAGATTTATTCTGTGAACCTGACTGGGCTGACAGCTCACCCTAAATGTGGAGCCTGTAATCATTTGTTGTCTAACTTATGGGATGCATCTGGTGGAAATTAATTCCCAGTGGGAAATCTACCCTGATGGTGGCAGAAATGCAAGTGAATTTTTTTTTGGCATTAAAGCCCCAGAGGGAAGCAACCAATCTATGGCTGTTCTGTCAGATATCAGGGAGTGTCAAGGCAGCAGTGAGGTACCATATATGTTTTTTATATATATTTAAATTGGACAAATCATCATTAGTTACACATTTTTTAAATTCCTTTGTCAATATCTGACAATAAATGTACATATGTAGAATAGAATGTAATCTGTTTTGACGATTTTTTGCATGTCTTAAAACCCGAGTTTTGCATTCATATTATAATAAATCCATTGAAACAAGGCCATGCCAACTCCAAATGGCTCGTAATTGCACATTTGGAAACCATTCCAGAAAGCGCTGTTGGAATGTAAATTGAGTTTTTTAAATAGCAAAATGGAAGGTGTTGAGCACATGACAGCTCAGGAAGGTGCAAGAATGGAAAAAGCACAAACACACACACAAAAAACACAGTGCTGCCAACATCTGCTGTGTGTGTGTAGCGGGACTGAGACAGGCTTCTGCCTTATGTACACCTCCAATGCCAAGTTGCCATAGGGCTGTGCTGTGAAATAAGAATGTGTTCACATGCATGTAAATGAATTTATTTTTGACTCACAGCTCCCAGACACAGTCTGCGGTCCAGGGCGCCGACTTTTCACATTTCGACTCACACTCAATCTAGTAATAAATTCTTAGAAACCCAAGATTAAAAGTATTATATTTGTTTTGTTTCTGTCCATCAAATAATTTTGATTGTGTTTTCTATGGGTGGATCAGGTGTGAGAATCTGGATAATTCAGGATTCTACTTCATTATGATGAATAATTTTGAAATTGTTTTAAAGAATTATAAAATCAATAAATCAATACAAATCGAAAACAGTACATCTCAATTCCACATCCACTATTTACAAAGCAAATTATTTTGCAGGATAATTGTTTTTTTTCTTTTCCTTCCTCTAACCTTCTGAGGCCCACCAGCGCCCCCATCCTGATGATACACAGACCTATTAAATGAATCAGGCCTCAAGTAAACAATTTTTTATAATCATCAAATATTGTTACCTTCTCAGCAAGTTAACCATGACGATAACAATACAAATAAAAACCACTCTGTGGCAGAAGAGCTTTTTAATGCTTTCTTCTGGCTCAGTAAATACAAACATATTTATTACGACCATTTTGTTTTGTTAGTATCATTTCCTCTGACAATCAAGTCATGTGTCATTCAAATTTATTGGGACAATCGTTCATTGTTTGGTAAAGAGACAAATGTCATTTTCTCAACATCAACATATTTCATGAATACAAAAAGAAATGAATCAAATCTTTCCCTTTTTTTCTTGTCCATCACAGGATCTGCTGACTCCTGTCCTGATGTTTTTGGACCTTGATCACAGATGGCTACAGGGATGAGGTAGGTCCCAAACTTGACCTAATGTCTATTTGGTTCTATTTCCGTCTCACACTTGGTATTTAGTGAAGGGATGCTTTCAGTACCAAAGGGAAGACGAGTGATGCATTTCCCAAAGGGCTCTGCGTAAAGACCTAACAAGCTGTCCCTACAGCGCTGCAGAGGCTGCAGTGTATTTTTAGGTGACATTCTTAAACAATAGACCAACCTTAAAGGATGAGCTTGTGGTTTAGTGGCTCACTGGACAAACTACACTGGTCCAGGGAGCTATAATGAGCTTTGACATGCTGAGCCAGCAGTAGTTTTCTGTCTCTAGAGACAAACCTCTCGATCTAGACAGAAGACTCTGTAAGACTACATTGTCCATGTCCATCCTTTTCATCTGCTGGATATTGTGAGTGTACAACAGTTCCCATTCTGTGCAGAAATATTATTAACTATTAAGGATGAAGTTCTTGTATTTGTGCTGCTTTCTTCTAGAGTTCCTGTAAAGCAGGGGTCACTGGATGTTTTTCTCAGAAGCCAGACACTCAAATAATCAAATAAAAATCAAATTTGGTCTAAAATTATTATTTGATGTTTATGATACTCAAAGATATTAAAGTCTCAGTTGTTGTTTTGTTCAGTTGCTATAATAGTGGGGAACACATGGTATTTTCTCTCTGATCCACTCAGTTTTGGGATCCAGTTGCGGGCTGAATTGGATGGTTTGGCCCACTGGATTTGGCCCGCGGGCTGCCAGGTGGTGATCTCCGGCTGAAAAGTTTGTAAAATAAAATATATAGGACACATTGAAACATACTCACAGCTAATATTTAGAATATAAGCCTACTAGGAACATTAGGAACGCTTGAATGAGCATTGTTGAGTCCAGTTTTTGTGGAGGAGCTGGCCATGGTGCTGGTTTTGGTTCTGCAGCTTTATGGGATCTTTGATTTTAGAATCTGCATTATTGAGCTCTCTACTGATTTCAAAGTGGAAGTAGAAAGTAGAAAGGAAGTTTTTGACCTTTTTGACCTAGTATAGTTAGATAGAAATCACTATCTGGAATCTAAGAAAATCATTCAAGCTTTTTTATGTCGCCACGTCGTACAAATCCGTACAAAAGACGGATTGTTGACTTAGAGTTTTATCAGTGTTGAAGGTGGGTAGAGCTTGAAGGAGCTAAATTATTTTTTATTCTTCATGCAGCTGTGTGGCTTTTTCAAACTGAAGGCAGAGCTGAAATAAGTCACTGCAGTAGGAATGAGTGAAAATGTAAAAGTGTGCAGTACTAACACACTGAAACCTCCAATGCTGGAGGGTAATTGTAGACTGACTAATAGTGTCGCGTAGTAACAAATGCACCTGCTTGTCACCTGTGATAATGACTTTTACATCTGTCTGTAACCTATGATCTGAATGCTCCTCATTAGGGTTAGTACGCACAAATGAAGTGACTCCAATGACTCCAACAGTGATGCCTTTTAATACAGTTATGTTTATTATTTTGGTATATTTAGTGCAAGTGTTTAATTGTCATGGTATGTTGCTATGGATACCACTTGTGCTGATACTATAAGTCAGATAGTATTTCATTTCTTTTTTAGCTCTTTTACATTAAATCACCTTGCTGAGAAATTACTGTTTAAAAGAGTTTTGTGATTGAATTCCCTTCGTGTTTTAAATTTTTATATAATAAGATAATTGTTCAACGAGCACTACGTATGAAAAACATTCAACATTCTTAAAATTCTCTTTCCTCTTTTTTGGATGCTTTGCCCCCTGCAAAAGGAAACCTTGCAGCCAATTCAACAGCACACATGAGAGAATGAGTTGTAAAGTTTTGCTCAACCTTATCAGCTGGAGGGACTCCAACATTGTTCATTTTAACCAGTTTCAACATCGCTCAGTGTCATTGTGACGGAAACATCGACTTGCTTTGGGCTTGTGGTTGTGAGTATTTGACAACAGGAATCCACAGCAGAGAGAGAATCAACTCTTCATTCTGAACTATCTTCTCCCATCTGTGTTTTCCTCCTCCCTCTTCTCCCACTCACACATAAACCCACACTTGCTCATAGCAGCCTCTTTTCTCATGATGTGATCTGGTAATCCATCTTCAAGTAGCACCTCCATCCAACCCTCTTCCACCCCCACCCAGCTCTCTCCTGGGTTAATGTAGGCGGCTGTGCTATAGCAGAAATATCATATGCATGAAAAATGTGCCGCTGCAGCACTTTTTTTCTTCTTCTTCTGCTTTCGTATGATGCGTGTGAAGCGAAGCTCTTGATGGATAGATTGTGTCACTGGGTGCAAGAGCTCAGGGCAAGAGGCATGAGCTTTGAATCTCTAGGACTGTCATTGAGAGTGAGGGAAGGGCTGGAGCCTGGAATGTAAAGGCCAAAAACCCTATCACGTTGAACTTGTTAACTGTAATGACATGACGTAAACGAGTATTTCACACGAGGGGGAAAGACAAACATGTGTCCAAGCTCAAGGTTCCATTGAAATAAATGATGCTCTTGTTAGGCTGATGGAATGTGGCAAACACTCCTTCTTCCTACATCTGACACCAATAAATTCATATTATTTTTAAATAAACTACAAGTTTATTCAGACCGATGTAGTGAACCGTAATACTGTAGGTAAGTGAGGTCAGCAAAATCCACACAGAGAACTATAAACAGATCTCTACATATCATTTGGTGTCCGTTAAGGTTTTACCAGTGGCATAAATGCTAATCTAATCCCATTACATTAAGAAGACATTAAATCCATTTACTTTGGCAAAACATTTCATAAATAATAAGGCCCATTGTGATATGAACAGCATACAAAAATCTACTGCTAATAAATAGAGCAAAAATATGTTTTGCATTTAAATTACTTAATAAAAAAAACACACACTGAAACATGCTGACTCTTTTCCATTCCACTGCTCAGAGGATCATGGCTGTCTCACCATTTTTACACAGGCAATAGACAATGTGGCCCTCCAGCAATTTTCAGATTCTGATGATATTTCAACAGGCTCTCAGTGGCACTGAGAGTCATGGCTGTGGCTGAGAGCTAATGGGCCAGATGTAAGAACCACCTGGCCAGCGCCGGGCCTCTGTCTGCAGCCGTCAGTGTCTGCAGTCATGCAGATCTGAGGTCGGACCGTGGGCTGCTCCGCTCGCTCACACTGCTTATTCCAGCTCATTTTCGGAGGAGCAACTGTGCTCATCATCTCTGACATTCTTCACGATGCTTGGTGCACTGGAGGGTGGAATCTGCACTGGCACTTAAATCTGGTGAAAATACAAATGCCTGGATTAAGGCAATTTCCTATTAACATGACATTAACATTTCAACCTTTATACGTTCACAATTCCCCTGATCTGTCACCCGGAATCAGTGTGCGCTGCACTCCAGAGAAGTGTCGGCACACGCACCGCCTGCCGGTCATGTCTACTGTAGTGTGTGGAAGGAGCAGTGCTTTTGGCTGCTCGCCCATTTAATTCATTTAACGCGGGAAGAAAACGGAGCACCTCCAGCAACCAGGCAGTGGAAAATAGAGCAGTGAATCTTGATTGCGCTGGTAAAATGAACAGACAGGTCTGGAGGTGTGTCATCTGTCTTTGAGCAGTGATGCATCAGTGTTGATACACCCCAGCACTTCTGTGTCCCCAGTAACCCTACGGAGAAAACATCACTGCGCAAAATATATAAAAATAAACAGTGGAGTTTGGACCTGAAAGGACAGCATATTCCAACATAACTCCAGGCAAGCAATAACTGTCCAGATAATACAAGGCAGAGGTGTGTGCATGTATATATGCATCTCTGTTTAAATATTCATGGCAGCAGTGTCAGCGTGCAGCTGCGGCATGATTTACACCAACAATAGGTTTGTGTCAGCAATGAGGTCGACCAAACCCCAGAGCAAATTTCCAACCAGTGAAGAAATAATCTCCTCTCACTGACAGTGACCTCCAGTGACACCAGTCAACAGTGTTACCCAAGTCAAGATTATCAGTGGTCTCCTCAACAGCAAAAGGCAAAATAAATCAATACTCACTTTGTTACTTTTTGCAGGTCTGATTTTTTTCTCTTTTTTTCTTTGTCCGTATTTCTTTGGTGAATAGAAATAAGTACAATTGGCTATACAGGTTCATTAGGACGTGAAACGGGGAAATAGGCACATGGTTTAATTTAAATGTACACTGTAAGACTCTGGTAGAAAAAAAATTTAAAATAATGGCGCTAGCCTCACCACTTTGTCTTACATAAAATGAAGATTCAAGTGAATTATTAAACAATATACTTGATTTTTTTTGTCCATAGTGATGCAACAGAATTTGTGCATTCTTTTACATTACCTTACACAGTACTTCATGTATGAAGAGATACCAATAGAGGTATTACTTGTATAGTTGTATAGAGTTCCCTGATCCTTAGTCAGGCCTGGTTAGGCACATGAGTTTTTAAGCCACAAATGTGCATGATCAGTCGAGCAGAAAGGTATTCTTCAGAACCCAGTCCAGACTCTTAGGTGCAGTTTGGTCTTTATTTGTCACAACTGTTAATAAAGCAGCATGATAACCTTAGGTTGAGTGAATAACAGCAGTTCCCTTCTCTGTGCTGACAATTTCAATTGTAAGTCAGAGACCATCAAAGGGTCAAAGAAGCAATCTTCTCCTCGGAAATGCCCCAAGTCGTCTTGAGGTAAACACCATCTGACACTCCATCAGCCGTCACTGTTTTGGCTTTTCCTCTAGTCTTTAAATGTGGAGCGACAGGGTGTCACTGGGAAAATCCACAGAGCGCACTGTGGGGACGGTGGCTTAGTGCCCTTCTCCATCACACCTCTGCTCCCCTCTCCTCTCTAATCCACGACAAGGCAGGGGACGAGTTATCACCACCGTCAGCTTTATGAGTCCCCGTCTGCCTGTGCCGCAGTTAATAAAGTCGCTGTGCTGCTGCTTCGGAATTGGGTGAGTCAGAGCAAGTGGAGGGAAAATTGGTCAGTGGAGTGTCGTTGACGGCAGGATGGCACACTTTGTGCCAATGGTTTCTTCTGGATGCATTGTTGGTCTGATGAATAATATGGGGCGGATTATTTTATTCCTCCAGAGTGTTTTTCAACTGAATGCCTGCCCCTAAACATCCAAAATACCACAATCTTTCACAGCTCAAATGTGGATAAATGTTCCATTTTTAAGGTTTTTTTAAAATCTGAAGTGGGTACTTTAGCTTTCATTTATTTTTAATTATTTCATCCAATGTAATTATATTAAAATTAAATTATCTAAATCTAATGTAATAACGAAAATGAGATATTTTGATAAGACACAGAAGTTCACCAGTGGATTTAAGACCCAGTAGGGGGCAGTGATTTCATTCAAAGTATGCGTTGCTGCTTTTCCAGCGTGTGGTAAAATGTTCCAGAGAAGCTATTGTAAATAGAAGTAAATCTCCATGTCATTTTTTCATGGATGTTGTGAAATTGCCAATTTTCATGTTTTCTTATCATCTGAATACAATATTATGAATCCCAATTAATGAGAAGACTCTGGTGTTCTAACTCCAGAACCTTCTCTGTTATAGAAGGCGAGGGGGCGTCATGCTGATCAGTTATGAAGTAAGGGCCAGAATTATTGCATTTTTCCTCTTTGAATTGCTCATTTAAATCAAACACGATTTTGTAAAATTACAGACTCATTGTTTTCCCGTGCTCTGTCAAAAGCTGTAAATGCAGATAACTCTATAGATCTGCTCTCATTAGGTCACATGACCTTCAGTGGCAGCTGTTCAGTCACTGTCTGCAGTTTGTAAATTGTGACAAACATGAATATAGAATGATTAAGTCTCATGTTGAATATGTTTGTTGACAATGTTAATGAGACACTACTGTAAGCCTGCACAGTAGTAGAGCCCGCCCCCCTCTACACAGTATCCCTTGACCCAAGAAGGACGTCTGGCATAAACAATAGTGAATAAATGTGAAAAGTAAACAACAGAACCCACGGCTCCCCAGTCTGTTAATTCTCTCAAAGTTAAGAATTCCTAAAGAACATTGACTCTTTGTTGTAGGCATTTAAATTTATAAAATGTTCTTTTAAATACTGTGAAACAATAATTCATACTGTAATTGTATGTTTGTTGTTTGACTCTCAACATGAACATACTCAGAGACAGCTGATTGGTTCAGTTGGATGCAACTTGGAAGACATTTTTCTGAGTCGTTCCAAATTGTTGTTGAGGTTTCTCAGAAAGACCTGAGAGCATTTCGTAGAAGGTCATGGTGGAGAGAGGACCACAGATGATTATAATGTAGTGAGGTGGAAACAGACTGGTGGGTTAGTTTACTGAGAAAAGCAAGGTTCCCTGCGTTGTACAGGCTGTAGCAACATAAACATTGGCTTGTAATTCTTTTAACTATGTAGATGATTACCTGTTTTCTACTGATGGGTTTGCAGATATAGTGATTGTTCAAATGTTTATAAATATATATATATATATAAACATGTTTGTGTAGATAGATAGATAGATTGATAGTAAACTTGTTTTTTCTCTGTACTGGTTATAAGTCAAAGTCCCATTCCATTGATTCATTTGTTTTTTCAGCAGACGTTAATTGGATTATTTCAAATGAGGCTACGTTTAAAAACATAATATGTAATAATGTTCCAAAAATACCAGTTGATCACTGAAATCTTACAGTAATGTCAGGTGGACCTGTGTGTGTTTTCTTCTAAATTACCTCATCAAGGGGAGTGTAATCATTATTTCTCTTTCCTGTCCACTGCTGCATGAGGTGACAAAATGTCCAGTTCGACTACACAACAAACCCTGTGCTCAGTGGTAGCACCGATGACAGGACATCTGAAAATAGAACATATTTGTTTTTCCATGATTCAGTCAGTTTGGGGTTTTGTCAGATTCCATTTGTTGCTATTTTGGCTGACATTAACCATTAGGTAATGGCAATTAGGTTTTATTGTCTCGATGATGGCAAAAAACTTTACAGGAAATTAGAAATTTCTGAGTGAATTCACACATTGTGGGTTTAAAAATGTTCCCATTCAGAGAACGTCTACAGCAGCCAAACATTAGTCGGCCTGAAACCAGGACTTAATGATACTGAAGAGCTGAAGGGCCACAGTGGAAATTTTCTTTTGAAATACTTGGATGCTTGCTCTTAGCACTTACTGCAAAACATTCAGCTTCAACGGATTTTTCCTCCTATTCTTCTGGTGTTCTGTCCCAGAGCTGCAGTTATAATTGTGCCTCTTCTCATAGGGTTGTTTTCATTGTATTTGGCCTGATATACTGCCAGGTGTTGGAGGTCGTTAGTCACTGTCATATTAACGTATGCAATAATTACAATATGTCACATACACAATATACACCATACACATAAAACAACATGGCACAGATTTAATAATGAGGTCACATTACTTCTTGACCTTTGGTCTATTTTTGCCTCAGTGAATGACTTGAGCTGATCAACAGTCAGTTTTCACCACTGCCTGGTTATTATTACATAGGCTACTTATTCATTTGCTTAACTATCTGTTTTGACTGCAGACTGATCTGAACCACAGGCAGGTCAGTCAAGCACATGAACTACATAGACTACTGCATGTAGTGACTTAAACATGATTTTGCACAGTTTTATGCAATTTGATAATTAGTGTCTCATTATATGACTTCATCAGTGAGCTGACAACAAACATTTATGTTTTATAGGTCAATGTCCACGATATATAATTTGTGTAATTCACTCCCTGCAGTGTAGAGAGGTGAAAATGGTGAGAAAACAAGGTGATGGAAGATGGGAAACAGGGAGCTGGGAACAGCAGTAAATAATGAGAAATGTAGTAAAAGCCGATCTGTAATTCAGAGCAAGCAGCAGCTGTTTATAGAGACGAAACAGGTGTGCAGTGGCCTTCTTGATGTGCAGCAATACAAATACCTAGTGGGCAAAAATAGACCCAAAGAAGGTCAGTGTAACATTTAAGAGACTGCTGTTTTATGAGTCTGAGCCAAAGCAGCAACAGTTTATGCTTCAGATTTTAAAAAACAAAACAAGAATGGCAGAGGCTGAGCAGCAGGAGGCCTAATTCCTGCCGTCACCTCCAGAGAGGATGAGTAGTCCATCCATTCAAGTTTAAAGAGCACGTGGACAGCTGAAATGTAGCAGGGAGTGTGTAATTTTACTTTGCTGGGATAATTCAGTACGTTATAATAGAAGTATCAAACTTTGAAGATATCTTTGCAATTCCAGTGCCTTCAATTAATAGAACTCATCTCTAATGCCCATTCACGAGTTACCAACCCAATCACTGTCATTGTGGTGAAAGACCAAACCATGGTGTCATATCTCCACCTTGAATCACCCTGTCAGGTCAACACATTCAGCCTCCCAGGTGAGGTTGTAATAATAAACATCGTGGCACAGAGGTGAATCCATATTTATACAATTAATGTGCACCAACAGCTCAGCGTGTGCCGTCACAACAGGAGACCTGCGGCTTGATTGCTTCCATTTTGTTTAGACTTTTTTAAAATTATAGATAATGGTTATAGAATAATTGTTTGGCACTACAGTGCTGCAATTATTGACAGTCAACACTGCTATTGAAACGGAGGCTGTTATTGACATTAAATGTAGATGAAGTGTAATGTGTTTCCCTGAGGTGACAGAAGCCACATAAGCATTTGTGTTTTATTACATTTTTGGAATAGATGAGAGAGTGAGCCAGAGGCAGATATGTAATTAATTTTCTTAACTTTGATCAAGTCGTTGCCTCACAAGCAGATGTGACGCCTGTGATGTAGCATAAAGGAGGAAAGATATTCTGTCGTACAACACATTTTATCTTATTTCATTTTAACTAAATATGTGCAAAGAGTGTCATATTTGGTTTCTAAAATACAAGCAGTGACCAAACAAGACTCAGTGAATGAGCTACTGGTGCTGGTATGTCCCTGTATGAAATACGGAGAAGAGGAATTCACAGGTTTCTACCGGAACCAAATGATTAAAAAAATACAACTATAAACAAAATATCTCCTGGTTAACTGGTGCAGATGACACCAAATTGATTTGCAGACAATTCCGTTTTCATGGAAACTGCCAAATATTTTCATGGATGACACAGAGTATTGGCATGTTTGAGTTGCTGGAAAATAAAATACTTTTAGTTCAGTCATTGTAACACTGTAATGCTTTGGTGCTCAGGTTTTTATGATTGTGACATTACTTTTAAAGAAGTGACAACAGCAGGGGAACAGGTTAAAACTATTTAGTATAATGAAGAATTCCCCCGTATCATTTTATCGTTCATTAATGTCCCCTCTGAGTTTTGACAATAGATATAAATAAAATTGAAATTCACTTGGTTTCCATCCACGTACGGCTTCTAAGGCTGACACCAGCTGCTGGCACTGATTGGAAACCTGCTATTTAACAAGCACGAGGAGTAAATTATTGGTGAGGGGTACAGTTTGATGACTGCAGTCTGTCTGCATGTACCCCAAAATAACAGGAAGGGATGATGGGAGGTGTGGAGATCAAGATGGAGTTGTTATTATTATAATTTTGTGCATTGTGTTTTTGTTGATATAATGAGGATGGCTTCATCTGTCCCTTAACATCTTACCGTGTACCATGTGTAATGGGATCTTTGTTGCTCACAGTGGTACTGTATTACTGCAGTACTATTTGTAGTGCAGTAATTCCCACTACCAGTAATTCTGAGGCCTAATGGACCAAAGACCTGCTTCTCTTTTCAACTGTTTGCTATCATTTTGACCACACCCACAGTGTTTAAATCAATAAAATAAGAAGTTGTTCATGTTTATGACCTATGACTTCACACTCACATTTTCCCAGTTGGAGAATGTAGCAGTAATCAGTGTCTGGCAGGCCTGTACCTGGAACCTTTTCACTTTCCTCTAACATTTCCACCACATTGTGCAAAGGCAGTTAAGTACAAAATAATTAGCTGTGTGTGCAGCGGTGCAACCAGTTTATTCTCTGTTCTCCAGCTAAAGCTGCGCTGATACTTAAACCTGCATGAAGGTGATAAAGGGGGAAAAGACGAGAACCCTTAAAAACGATGTCAAATTGAAAAACAAAAACATTATATGTGGCAGTAAAAATTAATCTGTTCAATTCATCACGCCTGTCACTGCCCTGCTGAATGTTTAATGCTGTTTAAGACACCTGCAAGGAGCACGGGCCTGGCTCCAGAAATAAAACTGTAATACCCAGGAAGGAGGCAGGATTTAAGTTTTTCCCTATACCGTATTGAACCTTGTAAAAGCTCAGCCTCAGTTGACTTCTATGGGACAGTAATTGATAGCTCTTTTCACTGGGGGGATGTACAAATAAATGAGATTTAAAAAAAAATACCACTTCCATGGAAGCTGGCCTTCAAGTCAGCAGTGGATGGTAGGCTGGGCTAACTTGCATGTGACTCCTAGAGACTTACGTTGAACCCATCTGTCACTCTGACTGCAAACCTCACTGTTGACTTGTTTGTTTCTCATGGAGGACATGTCCTGCGTCCTTCTCATGTACTTCTGATCAATTCCTGATTCCCACACACTGTACCACTAGTCCAATGGCCTAGTTATATACTCTTGATATTCCTACTGTATAAGCTTGACTGGGAGGTGTCTTTAGGTTGTTTACTAACTGAGTCTCATGTTCAAGTCATTAAATGAATCCAATCTGAAGTAACTGTAATGTACTATGTAGAGACGTTTCTGTCTTTTTCTAGTCACACAAAAGTGTTGCTAAGAACAACTACATTCTTTGGACTCTAAAGATAGTAACTGAAGGAAAGTGATGCAGAGAGAGTCTGTAACCATCTGAGAGCTGCGGGCAGAAGCAGTTTTAAAATGCAGGCTCCAGGGTGGGCAGTTGCCATCTCACCTCTAGGCTCATCAATGCTGGCATCTGACAGTTGGCAGCAACTTTAGAATAGAAGCTCCCCCATCCATTGACAAGCTAGAGGAGAAAGTGGGTCAGACTTGGAACAATGCAGAGTACATGGTAAAGTGTTAAATTATATTAAAATACCACCTTTGTGTGTACTGTACTGTATATCAAGTCGTATAACGACAAATAACAGAAGTGAAGTATTACTCACATAGGTATTTGCTTACTCCCACCTCCCACTAACTTGGAAATGGAGAAAGGAAATATATAATATATTTGGATTGTGCTTTGATCAACCGTGTTCTTCAGTGAAGAAGAGATTTTTAGTACAGTTATTAGAAATCCTTGCTTCATAAACGTGGGCAGAAATGTTGTATCAAAGCTGCTCTATCAAAGGCAGTTTGTCTGTTTAGAGTCAAATAGACAGTGAGGAGGATTGGTAGAAGATGTCTGCAGGTGAAGTGCATGTTGATTCAGAGATTAGGAAACGTCTTCTCAAACCTTTTATTTCACAAAGATGTTATGTGCATGTTATACTGTCATACACAGTAGTCTGTTGATAGTTTAATTTATTTTTAAGAGTCTAACTATTAATTAGATTAGATTTCAATACTGGCATATGTAAACGTTTTATTCCAAATCTCTGTAAAACCACTTAATTATACTTTTTCAATTTTAGCTAAATCAAATAAGCTAATATTTATTTAAATGTAAAATGCTGAAGACATCGTTCACCTGAAGGCTTTCTTTTTATGCCCACCTCTCTCTTATCTCACATTAAAATGAAACCTTCCTTACTTGATGAGCAGTTGAACATTTCAGAAACTGATATTCTTTTTTTATCAGCTATTTTATCATGTTTTCCCCCACACATACTTTTAGAAAAAAATACGTACAGATATATGTACAGAATACAGCCAGTATTTGCAAAAAATCGAACCTGCAGAAACAGTACATATACATCTGTGCAGTATTCAATATCAATCACTACTGACACCAATATGTGTATAATTGAGTTTGAGTTTTTTTTACATTGCACTGAATTGAAATTTTGATTGGTTTGGTTTCTGTTGTTGTCTGCAACAGTCTGTTTTCAGTGTAAGGGAAACGATGCAGTCTGTTCATGTGAGCTCACAGCAGGTACTCTCCTGCCCGTATCATCTGACAAAGGTTTCCATGGAAGCTCCCATCATGTATCACAGAGGAAATCAGGTTTATTTTTATCATGAGAAAGCGTCTCAAGGTAGACCCTGCAAATTAACATGTAGATGTAGATTTCTGATCTGAAGAACATGGACCTTGATGTCACAGAGGTTCGTCTCTTCTGTCATGACCGTGAATCGTAAAAATACTGTTCAAAATTAATATTATCACATTAGGTTGTCGTTTAAATGATAACTAAACCAGCTCCTTTTCAGTGACAGACTCATCCAAATCACAGGCTGTTGTATTCCTGTGTCTGTACACATAAATGTGGAGTTTACACTGGATTGAACTAGAGAGTTTGATTAGCTCCAAACTAAATCTCCTGAAATGTTGGATTGATCAAACATGGTTATTATAAAAGCAGATGTGAATTTCCACACTGACAGTTGAGCTATTCTGACAGGTATATCAGGTCAGCCTTCAACATTCATTCACATCCACTCTATGAGATGCTGCTCAGACAGATGAACACCTTTAGAAAAGGACTTATTCCACCAGGGTGCACCCTTGGGTGCCACAGGAAGTCATTCCTGCCCAGACTCTTTAACTGCCCCCTTTGAGTGTTACCAATATGGCACTTTAGCCCAGTAGTCCTGGTAACTGCATATTTACACTTGCTGTAGGTACTTGTATATATCATCAGAAAATCATATTTTTTTAGAAGATCTTTCAGTCTTTTTTTTTTTACCTTCCATACTTATGTATTCTTTGAAGGCCTGTCTCAATTACCAGTCTGTGTTCACACTTCATGAATTTGTTCGGACTTTGTTGAAGATCAAAGATATTGCTGCTCCTTTAAAGATTTGAGTAAAACTAAAATAATATTACACCCCCGAGTTATACCCTTTACAGCTTGCGTTACATCTGACATTAATATTGCACTGTTGCGATTGATAAAGTTTTATTGATGTGAACCGCGAACATTTAATTGCGATCCTTTTAAAATGTTTTTTTTGGGGGGGAAATCTACTGGATCATCAGAGCGTAGAGTCCCTGTGAAGCACTGGAGCTGATATTGCTTTGTAAGGAGTCTTGGTTGTCCACAGACCTGCGGCCATATCTGTGTACCTGTGCTGAGCTGGGAATTGTGTCAGCAAAACGGCAATAAAAATAACAAAAGCTACAGAGAACCACTGAGAGCTGCTGAACGCAGGATTTCTGAGCAAAGCCCCCAGACTTGTAGTAAACCTCTGATCCTCCTGACAGGCGCAGCAGAAAAAATGATATGAAACACATTCATAATGGTTTCAATTGTTTTAAGATGTACTGCCTGCAGGGTCTCTAAAGAAATCAATTCACACCATTAGTTTTTTTCATTTTGCTTATTTTTGGCACATTGTTACACATTATAAAAATGGAGAGGTTTTAGTCAAAGAAACAGAAACAGACCCAAAGTTTACATTTGGGAAAACTTTCTTTACTTACTATAATTTAAAATAGTACATAACTAGTACAGCAATTTGGACAATTGTCATGGTTGAAAAGTTGGATTGGTGAGTTGTCCAGAGTATGATCCTTCCATATTTCTTTATTTTGAAACCTGGTCAGCTGTGGTCAGCATCCCCATCCAGGCTCATGATGTCAGATGTTGTCGTCACCAAGGAAACCGACAAAAGACAGGAGCAGATATAGCAAAGATTCTGAACATTTCCTGTGTGACCCGACAGTCAAACTGACATACTGTTTCTGTTGCCTGAATAGTTATAAGAACGCCTACACTTTGGTCAGAATATTGAGCTTTTCAACATTTGTCCTTAAGCCTTCAGATGATTATTTGAGAGAACAGGATGCATGTTGATTTTTGCAACTTCTATTTGTTTTCGTTCTTGTGTTGTTTGTATAATGGAACAGTGATGTAGACAGAACATTCCTTCAACATCATCATCATCATCTGAAATTCTGTGCTATTGGTTAATATTAATATTTAACAAATAACTCTGTGTTATTGCAGTGCTACCTCCATCCTGAGATCAGTCCAAAGATGTTTAGTTGACGCATTTCTCAGTTTTTTCACTAAGACAGTATTTTTCTATTAATCCCAAACACATCCAAACTGGGAACACTCTTTTTTTGCCAACCCACAGTGCACAGTTTGACAAAATATTTTTTTTATCTGTGGCTGAAGAAATGGTTTAATATTTGACTGTATTGTCCAGTGACTGGACCAGTGGCAGCTTTGGTGTCAAAAATAAACCACATCCTGATTCTATCCCAATTTAACCAACAATAACCTGTTTACATTGCATTTAATATTGATTTCATTTCAAATATTGATTAAAAAAACACTATATTTTCACATCCCATTGAACCAGGGTCTTGAGGCACTTGATTAAAGAGTCCCCAGGAAAAAAGGAAGTTGACTGCAGGAAAACATGGAGCTGCAATGATGTATCTTAGTGCCAAATGTTTAGAGGCAGACTGACACAGATAGAGGATGGAAAAGGCTGGGACCAGTCTCTCTCTCTCTCTCTCTCTCTCTCTTTCTCTTTCTCTTCTTTCTCTCTCTTGTCCTGTCTCTCTTTCTCTCCTTTCTCTCTTGGAGGATGGAGTGATAGGAAATCTAGGTCATCGCCACTGATGCATTGCAAAGTGAACTTCAAACAAACCCGGCCTTTCGTGTGACAGCTCTGTAAAGCTGTGCTACATACCATCAGACAGTGATTATCTTTTTTTCCCCAGCCTCAGCTTTACAGTTGTCTCTGATGGAGAAATTCTACAAAATTACGTGTATGAATGTTTTTTTTTTTTTATGTATACGAAACAAAAAATCTCACCGGCTGTGTAGCTAATTAGCTAGCTTTGTCTCAGACCACATGCTTGTCTTCTGTTCCTCACCTGCCCTTCCCTGAGTGGCTTCTGGGGTGTCTTATCTGTAATCATAGCCCCGGGATTTAGGTAAAATGCTTTGTTCTGCTCTTCAAGGTTCTGTCTGGTTTCAAAGGGCAGGTGATTTAAAACAAATATGTAAAGTTGGTGGACTGGATTACGTTTTATACTTTCAGGTTCATGTTTGTTTATTTAACCTTTATTTCACCAATGACGCAGCTTCCAAACGTCTTACAGTATACTGAAATTTCAGCATGTAACTTCTGGCAAACTACTGGAGGTCATATGTTCATAATGAAGTCATTCTAAACCTACCTGTTGTGTCAATGATGTATTAAATACTCTGATACAAGGAAGCCATCTTCCTTGTATAGCTCTGATCCAGGACTGGGCTTGTTTCCTAAACCAGTAGAAGTTTTCTTGAGTTTAATTTTTCTCCTGCTGTACTGAAACATATACCGCATATGAAAAGTCCCCTTGAAACTGATGCCTTTCCAGCCACTATTAATGAGTTTGCTTGTTTCATTTCGGGGTAAACATTTCAAACACACCCTGAGGTTTTGATACCATGTACGTTCAGACCACCTGCAACTCTTTCTGCTAATTAAGTGAAGCACAGAATCGATGTGACGGTGGGGGTCTTTTTGTTTCAGCTGCTGGATATGTTAGAGGTTCTTTCTTTCAAGCATCATTTATAAATCAAAGTCCAAGACATGGATGACAGAAGGCAAAGGCAGAAATAGAATGAGAATTCCTTAAAATTTACAAGTTAGTAAATAATCCAGCATAACCTGCAGGACAAAGTAGTCGGACACCTGCTGCATTATTACTGTAAGACAAGACTTTGAGGGAATGGAAGAATGCTAAATAATTATATATATATATATATACACACACACACACACACACACATATATAAATGTTTTTTTTATTGCTGCAACATTTGTTATGGTCACAAATTATGGAATTATTTATTTGAAAAGAATGTCACTAAATAAATCCAAAACTAAACACAAAACTTCTATTCATCTAACTGGTTGATTTTGTATTTTTGTAGTGTTTACTAGCACTAAGGCCCTAAAACATTGACTTATGTCTAAATGTTGAATGTTGTTGAAGCAGATTACTATCATTTTAGCTTGGATTATTATCAAGTATATCAAGCAACAATTCATTTTTTTTACTGTAATTAATACAATAATTTCTGCCATTGTAGTTCAGTGCCATTCTTTCTATTCATGTGACTGTCTAAAAGAGATTTAAAATGGAAGAGTTTTGGTGCAATTTGCTTTTTTCTGTTAATGTGAGCTCTGAACAGTACAGTCCCAGTACTGATCACCAGGCCACCTCTTCTCTGACCCATGGCTGTCTGTATATATTATTAAAAAGATTAAAAAAGCTGGCCTGGCCTGGCCTGGCCTGGCTCGCCTCTGTGAAGAAGTTTAGTATTCATCATGTCATTTGTTCATGGAGGTGTAACTGCTACTTGCACCTATAAATGAGATTCCTTCTTTTTTGGCTGGGACTCTGTCGCTGTTTAAAGACTTCAGGTGCTCACCTTGGTTAATTGGTGTTATTTGAGTCTCAGGCAGTTTTCACCCCACATTTACCTCAGCTAAGTGGTGGCACCTTGACAAGACTGAAGATAGGTGGTGTCAGATGTAGGCCAAGAAGGCTGTAAAAATATCTCAGAGCAAATTCACGTCTGCCTGAGCATGCAGCTGTTTATTTTAGGAAAGCAGGTTGGAAAGTCATTTCACCGATTTCTTTCTTCTTTTTTTCCTTGTAGAAGAAGATAAAACAGGAAGCAGGTGGGACTTTACTTTTTTTGTAAGTGCAGTGAAAAAGTATTTTTGTCAATTTTCTATGGTGCAGACTCAGATCAAATATATACCGTACATACCCCCCTGAATGACATCCTTCCAAGTTGGTTGCTTATCACTGAAGATAAAGTAAATGGACTCCTGCAGCTGACATGACTCGTGTCAGTGGAATCAAAGATGCTCCCACACATGCTGCGTGTAGAGTGTAACTGGATTTCCTGTGTTGTGTTGTTTGCTGAAGAATGGATGACAAGAACAGCAGATAACAGCTGTCACTCACTGCTATCAAACTCTATTTATTGATAAGAATCACTTCCTCAGTGGTTTTAGGATTTGATTAAAAACACATTAGATATACTGCGGCCTTGTGGTATTTCATTTAGAAAAGTAGAACTCATCTTCCATTGTAGTACATTGTTGTACAATCTAACGTATGGCGTTCAAACAGAGTATGTACAAAGCCATCTTCCTTGTATAGCGCTGCGTGATGACACAGCCATGTTGGCAATCTTTAACGCCGTACGTCGGAATGATGGAACAAGGCTTTCTTAATAAATTTATCGAAGGTGGTGATGTAAGAGCTTGTGCCCTAGGTTGAGTACATCGGAAACCGAGGAGGCCTTGCAGTGACATTTGTGTGTTTGTGTCTGTGTGGGGTTGATCTTAACTGCTGCTTAAATTGTGGCGTTGTTTGACATTTAACTCTTGTTTTCATTGTCCAACAAGGAGCTTTAATGGCTCCCTCCACTGACCCATGTACTGACCCATGTGCCACTGTTCAAGCTGAAGCTTCTTTTAGACCAGGGGTCAGGAACCTTTTTAGCAGAGAGCCCAAAAAAGTCACATATTTTGAAATGTATGTTCGTGAGAGCCATACTTTTTATTTGCTCTAAATACAAATAAATGTGTGAATATTTAAACAAGACCAATCATTGTGTATGATAAGTCTCTGAAGTATTAAAATGAAGTTATTAAAGTTATTTACGAATAATGTTGTTGTAGTGGCACTTTGGCCCAGAGGCAACGTGTCATTGGTATGGAAACACAGGGTTCACCTCCTGGGCAAGTTAGAATCCCAGTCAAGGTGGTTGGTACCCCCCGCAGGAAGGTGATATTACATATCATGTAAGACCAATCTTAATTTATCGTACGGTCATTAAATGCAACACCCCTGCAGACTAGAGTCATGAACCCCGTTTTCACCTTTCATGCCAGAAATAAAAGATGGCGTACCAAGCTGTTGATTTTACCGCAATTATTTAACACAATGCAAAGAGAGTACACTGCAAATACACGAAAACATTTTTAAAGATTATTTTATAGTAAGTAAGAAGTCACTATGATTTCTGTAATGCTTTTCTTGAATATCATCAGAAATTATTTATTATTTATTGTGTTAAAAAATGCCAGCTAGGATTTATCTGAGAGCCAGATGCAGTCATCAAAAGGGCCACATCTGGCTCACGAGCCATAGGTTCCCGACGTCCTGTTTTAGACAGACGAGAAAAAAGCAGTCAGGGCATATAGATCGAAACGTACATAATACAAATGATACTTTAGTTAACTTGTAATTTTCCTCATACACTTGTGTGAGGACTGTTCCCTCCTGGTGCAGGGCTTAGGGTAATTTATGTATAGTTTTTGATCATTGGGTTGAGCAGAGCGGCTGAGAAAACTGCTGAAACATCATCTCAGCCCAGGTGTTGGTCGTCCACAAACCAGTGAAACCCCAAAGGCCTTAAATAGAAACATCTATAAAGGTATTCCTCTCCCAGTACATGCATTTTTAGATGCTACATTTCAGAAGCCTCCTGCGTGGATTGTTTGCAATGGTTTTGTGCTTATGTAAAGAGAAAATCCATTCCAATCCCCATTAGTGGTTAAAATAAATCAGAGAAATGAACCCTGCCTGGAATTAGTTTATGAAGAAATACTTTCTATCATCAAAAATTCAGCTGCTATTACTGTAAGTAAATTAGATTAAAATATCCTCATTCTAATCTACAGAGTTGGAACTAACGATGCTAATTGTTGTCCTCATTCTAATCTACAGAGTTGGAACGATGCTAATTGTTTCCCCCTACCTTTAAGTCGGGCATTGGTGCTGTATGGGGGCAGTATTATATTTCAAAATAGTGTTATATCAAGAACAGTTGTGAGATTGTTTTTTATTCATGAATTATTTATTGTGGCTTTCGTTAAAAAAAACCCATTACTATATTAATCAGGACAGTGTGTCCTCGAGGAACGTTGGAGTTCTGTTCCTGCGGCGCGACATAACTCGATTTTCCTCGACTACCTGTTAGCATAGTCGAGTATCATAGGTACTTCGAGGAAAACTTATGACTTATGCTCAGGAGCCATAATGAAGGGCAGAAAATCTATGTCTTTTGAGTATTGTGCCTCATGACCACATATTCATCCACTCTGCTCGCAAACAAGTACCCGAGTGAAATTTGTTTTAATGCTGTACATTTCAATGATGGAGGAAGACTTTCCTAATAAATTAATGGGAAATAGTGATGTAAGCATGAAACACCGCAGGTCGAGGACATCATAAACCGAGGACTCCCAATGATCTTTTGTTGCAGATTGTATTTTACTAACCCGTCTGCCTTTCCTGTATCATATATATTTTAACCACAAACGGCTGTCAGAATGTGACAGAAGATCTATCATTTTTATATCTACAGTTGTAAAATTGCAGGTAGTAATGCCATCAGTCCTATTGGGAGAGGATCCAAAAGAAACCATTTAAAACCTTATAATCACACTGTTGGCTTTATTATTACACCACGCCACAAGCATGCTGTCCACCAGCCCTTGTTGGACAGTTGTCCTCCAAGCTGCACACTAACTGGTTGAATGAGTCGAGGCCATTTGCGGACAGCAACCTCAGAGGGAAGGGCTGGATGGCTGGGCATCAATGCGGTGTTTGTCCACTTCTCTGCTCACTGAGGAACCTCTATTCACATTAGGGTTGCTTTATGACAAAGAAAGCTCACAAGTGCACATTTTCAGTCTGAAGACGGAGATTTTTCCTCATCCCCTCATCCAAATGCGCCTCACAGAGACGCGGTGCCAGAGGCCAAAGTCTTGACAGGGTAGTCCAGTGAGGAGGAATTGAATAAGTCCCTCTTTGCTCTGGCCTTGTCCCTGTCCACATGCCTGAAATTCCCTTAATCAGTATCCAAACTCTTTGGAACTTCGGGCTTTTGTTTTACCATCATTATGGAATGTAACAATTCAGGGAGTTGTTACTGAAGTTGTTACAACTTTAAAAACTGTTAATTTGTACATACAGAGCCAGAGACAAATCGACACATTTTACAAAAAAAAAAAAAAAAAAAAAAAACGGCTCCACAGTTGTAGAACATATGACCAAACTGTTATTCTGTTAGCTAAAAAAGATGTATCATGAAGAGGAAAATCAGACAAGTACTATTGAACAGCAAAAAGACAATTGTTGTCCTATTTAATAATTAAAGGCTGAAGTGGACTATTGTACTACAAAATGTGGTATTGTTGTTTTTTTTTTAATACATAAATCTGTATCAACATTTGGTCCATTTTATGATAAAACAAACAAACAAAAAAAACAGCAACCTTTCTGGTTTCCGTCAGGACGCCACTGCATTTGACTGCACATGATAAACTGTCATTACTTTAAAATACCACGATACATAACACGTGCATAGTTAGACACACTGGGATCCTGCTAAGAATGAAAAGACTCCTGCGGGTCGCGGGTCTAACGCTGTTGCATCGTCGTGGTAATAAATATTAGAGGGTTACTCTTTCCGATGTTTTTTCAAAATAAAATCCCGAGCTATGCGTTTTATCACTTAGAGGTAATAAATAAAGTGACACATTTAGGGCAACACATCCTATAAAGTTTTATTTTATCTAATCATGTTGTGAAGTCTTTCAGTGAAGGCACGGCGTTTTTGGTTTGAGTTGACTTGTATGTGGGTGGGTAGATCGTGCATACTTGACGCATCTTGAGAGAGAAAGAGAGAGAGAGAAAGAGAGAGAGAGAGAGAGAGAGAGAGCGAGCGAGCATCAAACGGGATCCTCATCCTGCATCACTTTGGAATCTCGCTCTCTGCATCCAGCGCTGCTTCACCTGCTCCGCTGTTTCCTCTGGCTGATTCAGTGAGAACACCACCCTCCTGTCACATCTAACCAGACATTAATGTGTCTTATAATGCTCGTCACACATCATTGACTGCAGAGATTGTTATTTTTTTCTTTTTACATCTTGGTCTTGACTGCTGTGTAAAAGTGACCGGCTGTTTTCTCCCCCCACCCCCCCCCTGTGCCATGGTTCGTGCCATTTGAGGCTGGCAATATGTGAATTTTGTGGGAAGACGCTGCGTCTTCTGGGACTGGTGGACTATTTCACAACTGGGATTTTCTTGTGTTTTACCCGAGATTTTCACTCTGCACCCTGAAACATCTTGCAGTAGACCGTGATGTTGCTGTGCTGCGTGAACTGACAGCAGAGTGTGCGCTATCGTTGGCAAATTGCGTGTGGGTAAGTTAAATTATGATCCAGTCGCTACAAAGTTGCTGAATGGATGCTTGTGCTCAGTGTTTTCAGGTCATCTCACCCTTTCCCTGTCATTCTGTGCACAATGTGGTTGATGCGCTGATTTTTCACGTGCACACATTTGCATCATATGCTCTCTAGCGGGCGTTAATGAGCGCATCCCTGATCTCCTTATATGCGGCACATGAATGCGTATTTGGAGCGGGAGTAATTTTTGTTTTTCTTCGGTACGCGCCGAGTAGCGGCGGTGAAGGATAGTGAGTGCGGCTCGACAATGACTGCAAGTATTTGTTGAAGTGTAGTATTTTGAAGTAAAAGCCAGTTATTAACGCAGATCTAAAATGAAAACGCATGTCTTTTTTTTTAATATCTGATTTATTCGGCGACAATTGTTTAAGACTGCGCATTTTGCTTTTCCTCCCGGTGCGTCAGCAAGATTAGTGTGCGTGTACTTGCGTGTGAGGTAGGCGCGCGAGTGTGAGAAAGAGAGCCTGTAAAAGTGCGCGATTGCGTGTGTCAGTGAGTACAGTGTATAAGTTCCTCTACTGCTGTGTGTGTGTGTGAGAGAGAGTTTGTGTGTGTGTTTTTGCGTGCCTCAGGGTTTCTGTGTGCATGTTTGTTTGTGTGAGTTTTTGGGGATTAATGACAATTTACAGACCCGATTATTTAACAAGAATTGAGGGTCGGTCTAACTCCGTCTGTGTGTGTGTGTGTGTGTGTGTGTGTGAGAGAGAAACCCAGGCCCTGTAATTCCTCATTATTTCTGCGGAGTGATTGCTTGGCCACACACTGATGCCTGTGCCTCTCTCCTGAGTGTCAGTGCTTGTGTTCCCGCTCCTCTTCCCTGCCTTGGATGGATGATGGCTTATGATGGTCCAGATGGATGATGGAGCTCCATTTTGGATCTGTGACCAGACTGGGCTTTGCCAGTCGAACATATTTGGGAATCAGGAAGTGATACTGATGTAAAATTGGAGCAGATGCTTTCTGTTGGAGAAACAAAAACCTGACAACCCTTCTCTCTGTATCTGCTCACTCTAGTATGGCTGTTGCATCTTGTCAAGTGACTGCAGCAGAGATGTTTCTTTATCTGTAACGTGCTCTTGATATTCATCTTCTCCACATTAGTTCCATCTTATTTTTATTTGAGCCACTGCAGACGCTGCACTTAACCTTCCCAGCTCCCATTCCTTCCTGACACTCGCGCTTCGGGTGATTTCATCATGTTTAATGACGCTGCTGTTATAATCTTTATACATCTCCTACGTCGTAGGTTAAGCTTTGCCAAAGGACCACCTAGAAGCACATGAATTGATAGGCAACTGGCAACGGCCACTTAACGGAACCCTGCAGCTACGTATCGAGCTGAGTCGAGTGCTCTCTCACACAGAAATTGATTTAGACACAGATTATGTCATCCAGCCTTGCAATGTTTTATGCTGGTCAAGTTTATCCACCAGAAACCTCCTGCTCTTCCATGAATCAAATGGGATTTTAAACTGATAAATGGATAATGGCAGTCATTAGCATAGTTTTTGGTCAAATTAATCACTTAAATAATTTCATTCACAAACTAATGTAAATATCTGCTACAAATATCTATATCGGTGTGGACGAGATGGGACTCAGAAATTTAAAAGAATAACTGTAGTTTGAAAAAGCAATCAATTGCTGGACATTTCAGGCGACCCCATTTAAATTCCAGGCGATTCCACACCGGGTTGAAAAACACTGGTTTAGCGCTTTTACCTTTGGCAGAGAGAAAAATCTAAAGACATCAAGAACATTTCCTCTCCTTGGTCTTGATTGATACTTTCAATTTTCGAGGAGCTGTCAGTGAGGCCCATTGGCCTTGGCTTTGCAATCAAGGGAACGGACAGTCAAAGGCTTATCAAATGAAAGACTTCTTAATGTGGTGGAAATAAAGGGTTGTCTCCGGATGGAATATTGGCTTCCTGTAGTGTATGATTGGAGTCCATGATGAAAATGTGAGAGGAAGGATGGGGAAGAGCAATGGTCATATCTGTTAATTTAAACCCTGAGTTAAAACTCAAACTGAAGAGAGACAATAGTGATAGGTGATCCACCCGGCAACCTCATAAACCACCCCAGCCACTCAGATTTTTTACAGACTGTTGGGAAATCTGTGAAACAGAAGCTGTGGACAACAATAAATAACAGACGTGCTCCCAACTTAAATCCATTTTCCGCAGACATAAGAGTCCCCCTTTTCTTAGTTTTCATCACAATCACTCAGCAGAGGTCTGATGTAGTTTTGCTGCAGCCAAAATGTGTATTGACAGGGACAGGTAGAGTAGGGTAAGAAGTGTGGAATATAACACTTTCTCCAGCTGGTTAAGGTTTTTTTCTCCTCTGATTGGAGATCGGCTCGGTGTAGCAGGAAGGTGCTGTTACTTTTACCTAACATGGTTATTTCAATTATGTCAAAAGACGCCATTTCCACTGGGCAACTCAAATGTACTGCATGTTGAGAAACGGAAGACAATCCCATATTTTAGAATAGTTATCTGTTATTTGTAGATAAATACTGTATATATTTATATAGGTTGAAGAGACTAGTAGAGACTGGAGGAGCTAATGTTGATGCTACGTGGGCATCACTGCTGTAAGTCAAGATTCATGCGATTGTGTTTTCTTGTTATCCAATTGATGGAGCTCCTTTTTTTTCTTCTAAAAGGTAATAACATGTAAACTGCAGTTTGGTGAAGATATTGTAGCTTCAACAAAAAAGCAAGTATGTGATATAAAACAACTCCAGTAATGCTATGTCAGAAAGAAACACAGTTGTCTTGTTGTCAGCCCCTTTGAACTGATAATGGGCTAGATGATATTGTAATTCTTAGATGAGGTTTGCACTTACAAGGGACTCCCCAAAGTTTCACCCTACTGTTAAACACAGTATATCTGAATAGCGAGCTTGGAGTTTTCTTGGCTCACTGTACAGGACTACCAAGCTAACAACATTTTAGTTTAGACTTCCTCTCCTGTTCCACTTTCCCCAGTCCTCCAAAAACTGAAATTCTATTTTGATCAAACATTTTTTAATATTTGTACAATAATAGTTGTTTAAGTTGAGAACAGTTGGACACTAATCCCTGATTGTTCTCTTTATAAAGAGACAATATCTGGCAATGACATTGTCCTTCCATTAAAGGAAGGACAATAAAGTCAAAGTTGCTCCAGAGAAGAGACGTTTTCTTTTTTTTCTTAGATAAAGTCAAACTCTATGCTTTTTTTTGCACTAAGTAACATTTCTTTTATATTTATTTCCCTTTATTTAAAGACCAAGCCATTTTAGCAGCTCCTTTTACACCAAATTTCCCCAACTAAATCTTTTACCATTTAAGATGCTTATCAAGAGACCCACCTTCAGGTTTGATGCCATTTTCAGAAGATGAACCTACATTTGTGGAACTGCTGCTGATACAAAGAGAAGTAGACTTTGTTCTTGGATGTCCTTCCAATGGACAAGGAAGTTCAACCTGTTCTGTCCTTTCAGAAGACATTAAGTTTTAGAGGACCAGACTTTATGGAAGAATAAATGACTTTAAAGTTTGGGCCTCTCTTTATTGCCTGGCCCTTGAGCTCTGTCATTGTGCCTTTTAATGGTGTTTTCAGCAGAGAAACATAACACAACATGATTTGTCCAGAAAATGGTTGTCATGGCCCAGTTAGTTTATACCTTGGTCTGAAAGCCAATTCTTGGTTAATGTGAAAGTGAGGGACTGGGTTCTGCTGTTGTTGTTGCTGTAATGCAGGCTTTATTTACAGTATTACCGTCATGTACTGTAGGGGCCTTTACTCTAGTGTTGCAGCACACCAACATATAGTGTGAATGACAAGCGTGCAATTTTCCAGCTGTCTGTGTAGATTGTTTTCTGAAAGAGGGATGAAGCCACTATGGTATGACACACTGAATATATGAATGGTTTTGTAGAAGTCTGACACTAACTGAAATCAAATGCAAAGTAACTGTTTATTTTTGAATTTTTCCCAGGGGAAAATTAAGGCACTGTGTGTCAGCTGTGGTATGGCTCTGGCTGAAACCTAATGTGTTTATGTCTAGTCCATTATAACACAACAAAAAGGAATAAACGCTCAATGAATGACTTTTGTTGCACTTCCACTGATGAAATAGCCCCTCGAGTGGTGATAAATTACACTCGTGTAAGATATTTTCCTTTTCTATCGGTATGTAATGTTCAAAAGAACATTTTATTTCTTTTTGCTATTTTTTCCAATCCCTGGTACGGCAGCTCCCTCTGCAGTATTGGCCCAAAGATAGAATTACCATTTTCATTTAATTCTTTTTAGCAACACAGTCATCACACCATCTCTTAACATGATCCTGTGGGACCCATCTTGCCTGAGAAGATGAAGGTGATGTGTTTTACATTGCTCACAGAGAGATGTGGATAAAGGAAAGGAGATTGCATGTCAAGGGAAACAAAGTGAGCTATTTATTTCTTTTCCATTTTCAGTCCTGTAGTCATTGAATTTATGCTTACTTCTTCATGAAGGCTTTGTTGTGACATACTGCGCACACACAGTCCAAAGGTACAAAATTCCAGTGCGTAGGAGGCTTTAAAGGGCTGTTGGGAAGCACATATCCCAGAGATGCCCCTGAACACGAGTATTATCAATGCAGCCTTTGTTTGTATTTTCACATATACATAAAAAAAAGTAAGTATTTTAGCATTTTACAGCAATGCCTGATGGTGAAGAGTTTCTTCAAACACAGTATGAACGAATGTATTTGAAAAGATGTCCTTAAATGTATTTTCAATTCTTTTCTTTCTATAAGCAGCAGGGTATGGACAAAAAGCCCCATCAGTGGATGAAAGAAGAATCTGCTATTTAAAACACAAAGCAATAATGTAGCTAAGCTTTCACGCAGCAGAGGGCTTTCAGGGTAGCTCTCGAACCACCTCTGAGCATACTAACAATATTATTTCACATGCAAT